CGGGTTATTCCAGGAAGCCTTTGACTAAGAAGTGGTGCTCTAGGAAGCTCTGTACTCCAGGAAATTAGTAGCCCTTGGGAGAGTCAGACATTCTTTCCCATGGGAGGTGGCTCAGACTTCTGAAGCAGTGTCAGCCTTTATGGAGAAACATGGTTTAACCGGGAAGACATGCAGCTTGGCCAGGGGAGAGGGGGAAAGGTAGAACTGCATGCACATTCTTTGCTCAAATCTAGGAAAAGGGTTGATCACCAAGAATGCTACCCCGTAAGAAATCAAAGGTTTTCTTTATTTATTTGGTTTACACATCAAGCACTTATGTGTTACCTTCTTAAATGGGATGTAGCAAAATGCTCTTGTGTTTGTAGTGTTACATTACACCAAAGACAGAGAACAGGCCACAGTCTGCTTTTCTTGTAAACTCTTCCGGTGTGAAATGTATAGCTTGTGGGGTGCAATACATGGTGCTGATACAGCATTGAATATGCAGACAGCAGAGGTTATATGTTTTGATCAGGACCCTAACATAAAACGCAAGACACAAACGCTGATGGTTTCATCCCATGTTGGAAATGTCTGGTCTTTCGTGCACATCTAGGATGTTAGGAGAGAACACATTAAAGACACTTGGTGTAATTCATTTAATGAACATGACAGCAATTCAGGACAGGTACGGTGCTTTGTGTATGTTGACCGGGGCATAGCTTCCTTCTATCTTGTCCTGTTTTGCTACCTTCAATTTCATGATCAGGGCACGCATCTTTTCAGGCAGCAGGGTAGAGGAAGGAAAACAGAAGTTGCCACTTCATACCATTCCTCCTTTCCTCTATGTGTAATGACATGGCAATGTCTTTATGCTTAGCAGCTGTATATAAGTCAGATCATTTATGACAACAGACAAGTGAAAGAATGGATACCGGGAGATGACAACTGGTATCCTCTGTTGCAAGCATCCATCACAGGATACCTCAGCCTCTGCAATATGGACATTTGGGGCCAGATAATTCTGTTGTGGAGGACCATCACATGCCCTGCAGAGCAGAGTTAGCAGTATGCCTGGCCTCGGTCCACCTGTAGAATCCTACTTGTGAAAGTTAGGTCTCTAGGTATTGGTAAGTGTTCCTTGAGGATGTCTTCCCCATTGAGTTGAGAATCACTGATTCACTGTGTGCAGGTACTGTGTTAGTCCCTGCGAAGGAGATGGAAACAAAACATACCTGAGAGCATCTCACACAATGTGTTGATTACAGTAAAATAGGGTAAGAAGCCAGATAGAACTGTAATGCTTTGTTTGTTTTGGGGTACTAGGGAGTCAAACTCAGGCCTCATACTTGCCAGGCCAAGTGCTGCACCGAGCTAAATCCCCAACCTTTGTACTGCAATGTGTTTGCTGTGTGTATAAAGCCCTAAGAGGGGAGAGAAGTCTGCTTGTTCTAAGAATAAGAGTGCAGGGGTGGTCGGCAGGGCTGGAGAGTAGGTGGGAACCCGGTGAGATCCTGGGGCTTTGATCTAAGTGCAATGGGAAATAACTGGAGCTTTATCTGCTACATTTTAGATATAGAAGACCCCCCACCCCCACCCCACCAAGTCTCTTGTGTTCAGAGGCGTGGCATATGGAAGGTGAGAGGATCATGAAACCTCCAACCTCAACAGTGGATTAATCCATGATAAGATCATTTGAGGGTATTATTGGGAGGTAACGGAGCTTAGGAAGTGAATCCAGTTAAAGGGGAATGGTCAGGGGAGTGTGACCTTGGTCTTTGGTCCCTGACCCCTGGCCCTTGTCTTTTCCTCCCTTTCTGCTTGCTGGCTACCCTGAGATGAGCAGCCTTCCTTGGCCATGCTCTTCTGCCATGACGTTTCTGCTTCACCACAGGCCTGAAAGAGCAATGGAGCCGGCTGGCTATGGACCGAAACTGTGAGCCAGAAGAAATCTTTTCCTCCTTTATTTTTCTGTTATTTGGTCACAGCAACAAATAACTGACAACATATCATCTACATTTTTAAATCAGGCGGCTGCTGGATGTGTGTATATTAGAGGAAAGCAGAGAAGAAGCAGGGAGACAGGAGGTTGTCCTAATCAAGTGAGAAACGACAGTGGCTTGGAGTTTGACAGTACCACTGGGAATGAAGAAATAAAATTGAAGGGGAAAAATAACTATGAAAGGACATAGGTAAGAATCTTCAATTTATCCAAATGGCTACCAAGGAAGACTAAGTACATTGAAAGGGTATCTGTGTTATATGACTTAAAATTGAGTACAGACCTTTTTGGTATTTGTCCTGTATATTCCTGTATTAGCTTCCTGTAGCAGCTGTACCATCACTACACACTTGGTAGCTTGAACTATCACATCTATCCTCATTGTTCTGGAAGTTGGAAGTCCAGAAAGTTTCACTGGTGTCCACAGGGATATGCTGTGGGGAACCACCTCGCCCTTGCCTCTTCCAGCCTCTAGTGTTGCGAGCACTCTTGCACTTGTGCTCACATGTAACACCTCCTCCTGTGTGGAAAATCTCCCTTCACTCTCGCTTCCTAGCATACTTGTGACTGCATTTAGGGTCTACCCTGTATTGAGGATAATCTCTTCATCTCAAGATTCCTAATTTAATCACCTTTTTTTTTCCCCACTACGGGCAATCGAACTCATGACCTCATGCTTGCCAGGCAAGCGCTGTGCCCCTGAGCTAAATCCCCAGCCCCCTTAATCATATCTTTTGTCATAGAAAGAAGTATTTCAAGGATTCAGGCTTAAGACATGGACATTTCTTGGGAGGCTGGAATTCAGCCTCCCACAGTTCTCCAAATATTTGAAATCACCTTCAGTTAGCAAAGGAAGGGATGCTACATGTTTACAGAAGGCTTCATGGGCTTTAGACAACTCACTGTAGATGCTAAAAAGCTAGGGCTTAAAAGGACTGCAATATTCATACAGTAGATAATGGATCCTCAAGGGTATGGTGTGCCAGGTGACAGAAGCACGGCGTGGCCATCAGCTGCACTGGTACAAAGGTGGCAGGGACAGTGTGAAGGGAGTAGGACTAGAGAGAAAACAAATACAGATTTTCTCATTTAACTGGATCCTGCACAGAGGCAGGGCATGACAACAGGCCCAGGTCCATCTTACCTGCTGTGCTTGGGAGTTCCCATGAGGAAGAAGTGAGGGACAGCACCAAGAACTCCAAGAACGGGTGATACTTAGAAATCCAGGCAGGCTAGTGGCATCAGCAACACCTCAGAAAGCAGTTAAACTTTAGTGTCTAGATTGGGGTTCAAGGGCAGGACTCTTGTCGGTGGAAGGGGATTCTAGTTCCCAAAGCACTGGGACAAATAACCAAGGGAAGAACACAGGCCCTGTGGAACAAGGCCTGGGCTGGGCGGTTTAGCTCAGTGGCAGAGCACTTTCCTAACATGTGGGTTCAATCTTTAAACACACAAAAGAAACAAGGCAGAAATCTAATTAACAGTAGTGGGGCCCATGACAGCTGGAAAGGCAACAAGGACGCCTCCTGCCAAATTCTACAGTGGCTAGCTAGAACTTAAATGCTCCTTCCCAGATAACAGAACCTAAGGCAGGTTTTCAAGTAGAGAGAAAGTCTGAAAAACCTATGTGATTCCTGAAGAAAATGGCAAAATAACAGTCACATCTGAATTTATAATAAAGCCTGACACATAAAGTCATTACTGACAATGAAAAAATAATTTACTGTACAAGTGTATCCCGAGTACAGAGTTTCTCATTTAATATGACTGGCTAGACACTGTCACTGGTAAGGACAGTAACGTGAAGAACGATCCAATAGTATGGTACAGTGCAGAAGCCCAGACTGAAGCCAGACTGCCTGTTCAAACCCTGGCTTTACTCGGCAATATTTCAGGGTTAGCATATTATGGATAGTTTGTAAATGAAGACTGCAATAATATCTAGGAAACAGTATACCTCAATTCTAGACTCAAATTCTGACCCTGAAACTAACTTCTCTCCAGTTTACCTGAGGAAACTTGCTTAAACTTTTGACATCTCTTTCTATAGTAACCCTATTTCAACTTTATTATTCCCATTTGAAAAATTATCCTAAGGAGAAGAAAATAAAAATGAAAATAGACTTTCAAAACAAGCTAACGGGAGAGTAACAACAATGAATACATTAGAAACTGAAGCCCTAGAAAATTTGACTAACTTCTTGTAAAGATCATATGGCAAAATAAGTGGTGAAGGTAGGATTAGATTTTTGTTCTGCCCATTCTATTTTTTTTTTTTTTTTGGTTTTTCTCTGGTACTGGGAACCGAACTCACGACCTTGTGCTTGCCAGGTATGCGCTTTGCCGCTGAGCTAAATCCCCAGCCCTGTTCTGCCCATTCTAAAACTGCAGTTTTTCCTTTTCTGTGTGTTATTCTAGCATAAGACTTGATTTCTACAGAGTGCGCCAAGGCCCCAAATACTCGCTACCCTTATATTTACCCCTCTAGCTCTCACTCTGATATTTCTAACTCTACGCTTTGAGCTGTCATTTGTTCAATTCTCTCCTTCTCCGGCACTCCCTCCCTTTCTGGTTATTTCTGGTATTGTCAGACCATATGGTCTCCAATTTCTTCCTCTTGTTAAATGTCTTCTCCATGTCTGTTTTCTAGCAGTAACTCCTGACTTTAATCTGAAATAAAATTATGTATTTGCTCATTTCACCCACTCTCCAATAAAAAACTTAACTATACATTACGCTGGAATTAAAATGACAATAAACATTTGGGCATGAAGTCGGGGCTGATGGCTCAGGTCTGTAGCCCCAGCTACTCAGGACACTGGAGCAGAGGGCTTCAAGTCTGAAGCCAGCCTGGGCAGCTCAGCAAGACCTTGCTTCAAAATAAAAAATAAAAGAAGCTAGCTCAGCATTCTTTGGGTTTAATCCTCAGTATTCCAAACCAAATGAACAAACAAAAAAATCCAAAAAAAACACCCCCACCATGTTTAACAAAGAGTTAGAAAAGAAAAAATTCTAGTTATTATTTTTCATTTTCTTTTATAGTTAGATCTTTATGAGACAAGGAAGTGGATCTTTATGTTTAAACACGAAAACAACCAAAATCAAATCAATATTACAATCATTAGCTCTAAATGAGTATTGAATGGAAAAATAATATTTAATATTCAGAATACAGAAACATCTCAGCGAAACTACATGACACCAGTGTGCGTAAGTTTGAGGTAATATTTGTAGAACTCTCAAATCCAGAGAAAACAGTTTTTTGGATATGTTACATATTAACTTTTTAAGTCAAAAATTCCACAATGCAAAGTAAGTTCAGTTCAGTGCTGTGACAGCTATGCAAAGAGATATAAACCCTACTGCTAGAGGAATCTGAAAAGGTAGAATACTTACTAATTATGTGGTACTAGCACAAAGGTCAATAAAAAAGTCCAACAGTAACAAAAATATAATTACCAATATAGCTGTCTTATTATAGCAAACCATAGTACTATCAATCTTAAAAAAAAAGGTCATTGTTTTCATTATTCTTTCTAAGTCTTTTCTATAAACATAGTGGCTAATTCTTATTATTTATCCTTATTTAATTTCCATGTAAACAAATTTGCTGATAGTAAGCACTACTTTCAAATACATTAGCATCATCATCCAATTATATTAGTAATGAAAAGGCATCAAAGCCTTTAAGGGTATTAATGTTTTCATGCAACTTTAAAAATCTAATTTTGGAAGTAACTGGCTAGTGAATTTTTTTTTTATCTGTAAACAGCCATCATACACCAATGTTATTATCAAATGTAAAGATGACATTTAACATGCTTACAGTTTTTAAAACAGCTGGAATATACACTTTATAATATATCTGAAACATTATCAAATATTTTGACAGTATTATTACTATACACCCTATGTGTAGTAGTAAAAAATATAAACTATTGGTCAATCATAGTGCATTCTCCAAACTGAATTTTAAATTTTCTTGTGGCTGCCATCATAACAAATTTATTATCTTGACATGGTATATCACAGTCTTCTTTTATAAAGTTCACAGGTCTTTCTTACCGCCTTTTTCAAAACGATTCTGTAAGAAAAAAAATACAACACATAATGCAGCAAAGAGAAACATCTATAGATACAAGGATTTTTAAAAAACTTTCTTTTTTCCATAAATAGTTGTTAACTGTAAGAACCATCAACTGTGAAAATAGACTAAAAATGTCTCACTATAAAATGAGTTTTTCTTGAAAAAGATGTTCACAGGAGAAATGTTCACACTGTCGATAAGTTCATTTTTTCCATACCTTAACCTATTTTGCTTTTGTGTTACAGGTTACTCCAGGAAAACAAAATGCTTGAAATTCCCCTACTGAGATCAAGAGCTGGAGGGAGGCAAGAGAAAGGGGATGTAAAAAGAATTAAGATGTGTTACGTGCACGTACCAATTCCCTGCAAGGAATGTAACCATTATGTGCTGCAAACATGGACTAATATAAATAAAAAAATTTTGAAAAATTTCCCTACTGTAAACCAATGAAGATTTTTTGGCAAGGAAAGAATAAAGGGAAGCAGAACAAAATAAAACAAAACACACGCTATTGGGGTGGCTTAGTATTTTTTGGGTCTTTCTCAAATTAGAATTGGCTTCTAAAATTTCACTTTCCTGATCATGTTATAACGATGATCACAATACATCATTTAAATCTGGAGGAAAATGAAATGGAAATTAATCTTAGGAGATCACTTGCCCTAAAAAAGCAAATATCAACATCAAGAAAGAAATCTCATAAAATGGAATTGCAAAGCGTTACTGCCGGTACACAGAAAGTTCAAACGCTGTACAGGCTGAGTACTAACGCTTTCAGAGCAATTTAACATTAACTTTAAGCCACCAAATAAGACAGGATTAGAGGAGGTATTTTGAATGATAAAATATCACTTTTTCATGTTTATACATATTAGGCTACTTAAGACAAAAATGAAAACTTTAATGGAAGTGTTACTTAAGTGCGATTTTCCAAAATCAAATTAAAAAACTGGCAGACGCTGATGTTTGTGCTGCCAATAGCCCATAAGTTTTTTTTCTTTTTTAGAAGACAGCCAGGGCAAATAAGGAAAGGCGAGGGCTACATGTTTTGAAGGGACTGTTTTCTAATATTTACTTAGTGCCTGTAACAGGAAAGGGACCTGACGGGGAAATCCTAATGGATTTAAAAAATGTAAAGTGAGATTTGATTACAGAAAAGCCACCTTTCTTACTTTTGAATTTTTTCTTAATGTTTTAATAATTCTTTATAATATGAAAGTTTCATATCCTATTATTAAGATTGATAACAGAAGTAAAATTCATGAGGACAAATAATTTAGCTTTTTACTATGGATAGTTTATAGCTACTTTTTGCTTTTTCTGAAGGTGAACGTTAAAATTCAGTAGACATGAAAGAGGGACCATGTAAGAAAATGGTCTAAATAAATGATACCTAAATTTCAGATTCTTAAGACTGAACAATGGGAGTTGGGTAGGTGGACGGGGAAAAAGTACAACTAATCAAGACATAGTTAACAGCACTTATAGCTTTTCTTGATTGAAAGTATTTTTTTTCCCCTCCGGTACCAGGGATCGAATTCACGACCTTGCGCTTGCCAGGCAGGTGCTGTGCCACTGAGCTAAATCCCCAGCCCTGATTGAAAGTATTTAAAGTGATTTCTTGGACATGATTTCAAGTTTATGATGTATTATAATTGTCATTAAGTAATAAAGTAGCTGAGGTACATGAATGTCAAATGACTCAGCTAAGGATTCCCTTCAACCTAAGATATTTATAGGCAGTTGGTTTTATAGCTAATGAGAGAGGAGACCCACCAGACAGGGTGGAGAGGTGCCTCAGAGATGAGTAACAGCAGAAAACCACCACCACTCTTGGGCTGGAGGGACAAGGGACAAGACAGTTAGGGAGCCCAGGAGTTAGCGCAGTAGGCAGATGCTGCTCTGTGGGAATTGGGACCACAGAAGGAACTGGAGCCACAAAGGACACGGTACCAAGAGAAAAAGAGTAGGAGAAATCCCTGACTTCCTCTCTCCTCCTGCTTTCAGTTTCCTGCTAGCACTTCCGTTGGGCTAAGAAATCAGAAATAAGCAATCCTGGAAAACATACCTCCCTCCTTGTGACAAGGAATGAACAGTGGTGGTAAGACAATGGATCTACGAACACACAGTCCTGTCCAGCACAGTCTAAAGAACATGATTAATGATAGAGGTTCTGGAGAAAGATTTCCTGACTTCAAATGCCAAATTTATTTATTTATTATTTTAAAGAGAGTAGTACATGAGGCACAAACAAAAAAGAAAAATAGAACAGTAGCAGCATACCAGTATCACAAACATAAACAAATCAAAGCAAGAGCATTCAAAGTGATACAGGGTCTCAAGACAAATTAATACAAATTAACAGTGGTTGTTACATTGCAAATGCCAAATTTAAATGCTGCCACTTTCTAGTTCAATGACCTTGAGTAAATTATATAACATTTCTGGTTCTCAATTTCTAAGCCCACAAACAAGGGGTATTAAAATCTCCTACTTTTGGGGCTGGGGATTTAGCTCAGCGGCAAAAGCGCCTACCTGGCAAGCGCAAGGTCGTGAGTTCGGTTCCCGGTACCAGAGAAAAACCAAAAAATAAAAAAAATAAAATAAAATCTCCTACTTTATTGAGTTATCATGGGAAGCAAACCTGACAGCATATATGAATCAATTAGCCATGTGCTTTGTCCAGAGCATACACTCAGTAAATGTTACCTATTAAATATTTCAAGAGTGCGCTACAAGTAGAAATTAGTTCAAGGTCTAAATGTGCTATCAAATAAAAGCCAACTTAGGATGGTACAAAGTATATCTGGGGTGGAGTCCTTTTCCAAAAAAACAGGTATAACAACTATTTTTTTTAAAGGAGGAATTACTCATAAAAGCTTTCTATATCCTTTGCCAAGAATGTGAAAGCTTCAAGCTGGAGGTGGCTTTCTCTGGAGGGTGGGGTGGGGAAATGGGCTTAGGAATCTTACTATTACATATCCTTCAGGGTTTATGAGAGTCACTTTTAGCTTTTATAGATAGTTGTTACCACAACAGAGATGGTAAGCAGTGGACACTGGTCATAAGAAATCGAGGGTATATTCCTGGTTTTCCTTTCCTCAAGTTTCTAAACATTTCTAACACCCTGGCAAAGTCCACTGGTAATGGATACTCACTCTGGCTGAGTACACCCTCACCTCAGAAATAGAAGAAAAAAGTACCGAAGGAGACACCCAGTATAAAGTGACTTCTTTACTTCCCATGGTGGATCTTGTGCATGTCATGGAGATAAGCCACATATTTAAATGCTACAGTCTTTTGTCTTAAGATATCTAAAGCACTGGAACAGAAGGAATAATGTGACGGTGAACACCAATTTTGGACCTCACTTTGCTAAGAGTGGCTAGTATTCTAAACAGGAAAACCTAAAATTTTCCAGAACCCAGTCTGGTTTTCAATGCTGCCACTTTTGTTAAAATTTCACCGAAAGTGGAAAGTTGCAAGTTAGCACATCAGCAATTCTTTGTGACTATCTCATATTTTGCTATAATGTCCTAATCGTCATCCTCTAGGAAACTTGGATTCTTTAATGATTTAACAAAGCCAGGATTAAAAACATCATCTGGATTTGTGAAGGTTAAGTAACCCAATTTCCTCAAGTATTTTTTTTTTTTTTTTGCTTTTTTTTCTGGTATCGGGAATCGAACTCACAACCTTGCGCTTGCCAAGCAGGCGCTGTGCCGCTGAGCTAAATCCCCAGCCCCCTCAAGTAATTAATATTTGAAAAAAATCTAGATGTGTAAAGTGCTAGTCACTCACCTGAAGTTCTGAGTGTTCTTTTAAGAGTCGATCATATTCTTTTGAAAGTCTGTCTGATTGCATCTTCATTGTCATCACATCGTTTTGTGCCTTAGAAAGGGCTACAAAATAATGGATAGAATTTTACTTTGAAAAAATTTCAAACTCACAGAAGTTTCAAGACTTAAGAAAGCTCCTACATGGCACTGTATTTTCTTTACACACAACTATTTTCTTGAATCATCTGAGAATAAGTTGCAGGCATGTTTCTTTACTCTTTAATACTGCAGTATGTAATACTTAAGAATGGGTCATTCTCTAATACAATCATAGTATAGCTACAGACTTTAGAAAGTGCAATACCAATAAAATACAGTTAAATTCATCTACTACCCATATTCCAGTTTTAGCAATTGTACCAGTTTTCTCCTTTTTAGCGTGTTTTTCACTTCTACTCAAGGACATAGCTGTGGATCACGTACTGTGTTTTGTGGTTGCCTTCTCTTTAGTTTCTTTTAATGTGGACAATTCTCTAATCTTGTCCTACCCCACCTTGCCCCATTTTTTGTGATGCTGATATTTTTAAGAACACAGGCCACTTTTAAAACAGAAAATTCTTCATTTTGGTCTTGTTTGATGTTCCTTATGATGAAATTCAGGTCATATAGCCCACTTACATATGAGTCTGACACAGGTGATGTCTGATGCTTCCTTGGGCATTCAGAAGCCAATCACATTTAGCAATGCTTGGCCCCTGTTCTTTTTTTTTTCTTTCTTCTATCTTAGAGTTACCATTTTTCCCCTTATAACCAAAGCAGCAATGCACAGGAAGATAATTTACACTATGCTAATATTCTGCTCCCTGTCAAAATATCTCCCCTCTATTTAGCATGTATTGATAATTCTTCCCAAGCCAGTATCACTTATAACAGAAGCTTTTTCTGCATCTATTGAGATAATATGATTTTTGTCTTTGGCTCTGATAATGTGGTGTATTACATTTATTTTTTAAAATTTTTATTTCAAAGAGAAAAAAAGTAAAGCAAAATTTCAAAACAAGATAAAAGCAGGATAACAATGGTTAATACATTGCATAATGTTATTTAGTTATTCAGAGTACAAGATATAGGCATTTAATTGTGCAAACAATATTAGCACCAACCTTTCTTTTCAATAAACTAAAAGAAATTAGTAGTACAAGTATCTTAACTATCTTGTGTTTTTATATATATATATATATATATATACACACACACACACACACACACATATATATGCTTTTCCCTTTCTCTTTTCCCCTCTCCCCATCCAGTTCCTTTCCTTTTAAGCAGTTTCTCCACATTTTACAATATTTATTGTATTTTTTGAATCTTATTTACTCTTTCGGCTTCTCACACTAGGGAGATAATATGTTTGCACATGTGCATCTGGTTTATTTCACTTATGAGTATGGTATCAAGCTGCATCCATTTACCTATAAAAGTCTCCAGTTTATCATTCTTTATGGCTGAGTAGTACTCCACTGTATAGAAAGACTACATCTTTTTTATCCATTCCTCAGTTGACAGGCATTTGGGTTGTTTTCAAGATCTAGCTATTACAAATTGTGGTGCTATGACCATGGGTGCACATATATCTCTGTGGTATGATGTTTTCAACTCTTCTTGGAAAAATACCCAGAAGGGGAATAGCCAGGTCAAATGGGACCTTGCAATCCTAGTTTTTCGTGAAAACTCCACACTGATTTCCAGAGTGGTTGCACAGTCCACACTCCCACCAACAGTGGACAAGGTTTCTTTTCCCCCACAGCCTCTCCAGCATTTGTTATTG